TTTTTTTTTTTCAAGGTCCGGAGGGGAAAAAAACGGCCATATGGCATAGGAACAACACCGGAGTGAGTAAATGACTGATTTTTCATTTTTGGGTGAACTATCCCTTTAATGTTTGTATAATCCACTTCCTGTTGGCTGGGTTCTGATCATCACTGGCTTTGTGTTGAGAGTTGTAACTCCCAGTTCACATCCTCCTTTATCATTGTCTTTGCTTGAGACTGAAGTCCTGTGCTGCTCTTCCTGTCCTCAGGAACTCTTTTAGCCATCTAATTTTATGGCTCACTGCACATGAGTCTCGGCAATGTTTTGGTGCAGTTGTGGCTATAAAAAAACTGCACCAGATCCAGGGCTAACATTCACTTTCTAATCTAATATTCCATGACGTTAAACACGGCAAGAGCGGTGAAGACTGACGATCAGCAGGAGCAGAGTGCGTTTGTGCTTTATACAGAGACATGAGAGATAGAGAGAGAGATCACAGGCCGGCTGAAATATATTGTACTTTGCTTGCATTTGATAAAGGCTTTTATCCAAAGCAGCTCACATTGCATTCAAGGTATAGATTTTATTAGCTCAGTTCAGTTCATCCTCTCAGAATCAAATCCATGAGCTACAGGAACAATAATTAAATAAGAAAAAACACACACACAAAAACAATTATCATCAGGTCAGAGGTGCAAAGATTTGAAGATCGTTCACTTCTCTGAACAGGTAACAGGTCACTCTAATGTTTTTTTTCCTGTCAATTTGAGGGAATCCATACATTTATATACCTTTACAGTCAGTGTATAAAATTGTTACTAATTGCATTATAAGGAGGATTTCAATAGAATATGGCACTATTGTCATTTTTTTCAGAATCTGAGCAAAGCTTATTTCTGTAGAATAAACCAGCTGTTGACTGTCTGTTCACACAGCACACAAAATAGAGATGTGACTCCTCTGGTGCACAAATTACTAAATTCAAATTTAATGTTTCCTTTCACATAAACAAATAAAGAATATAATGGTTCACAGTCTTTTCCCACTTTTTACGGTGTCCTTGTTA